TTTGATCGTTGTTGTTACTGTGCTGGACAACTGCAGGCAACCTAGAAGTTTCTTGTTACTACAAATGCTTTATCAGACGGTCACTATGGTGTTCAACTGCAGTTAGTTACCTGATTTTCGAAAAGGAAGCAATAGAACAGGTGTCATATCTCTGTTTGTAAATTATTTCGTTTCGTATCTACTGCCCAACAACTGCTTGAACAGAATATAACAACTCGCTCAGAAGCCGAAAAAAAACTACAAAAAGGGATAGAAAAGACAAAGCGAAAAAAAAAGAAAATAACGAATAAGTTTTTTACATTGTCTTTTTAAATAAAACAACAACAAATTCAGCTTTTTTCCAAGTTCTGACCCAACAAGGATGTGTTGATAGCAGTGAAGAGAGAAAAAAGTTTGGATAAACTAACAGAACCAACAATAAATGACCCATTCACCCCCTCACTTTTTTTACGTCATCAACAAATTCATTTACGAACTGTTATATTTCTTCCATCTGAAGTGAAATTCATCTTAACCTTTAATTCCCCTCACTTCGTGCCTTGCACACCCCCGCTGAATTCTTGAAATAATGATCACTGTTTGATCACTATACTGCAGCAGCAAATGACAGGACACCCATGTAGTTGTCATAATTACAGTTGTAACTTGTCCATCTACGTTTGTTGTATCTGTTGAAAAAAAGAAACACAGGTTGCGAAGAAAGATAGTTGTAAAAAAGTACTTTTCAGCTAGTTGTCTGCCTTAACTTATTAGAGAGCTTCATGGTTGTTCCATCCGCTTGATGACTGGGGTCTTCAATGAATTGCTAAATGAATATTTCGTTATACCGCGCCAAAAACAGTATCGCAAGACTAAGAACAAAAAATTCTAAGATTAAGCTTTGACGTCAAAAAGAAAAAAATTTGCTAGTAAAAATTTTTTTCTTTTTTTTCGACACTTTTCCGTCGTCAATTTTACATCACTTTTCAGTTGTAAAGCTCTCTTCTTAAAAGATGGGGTGAACGAGACGGGGAAAAAGTGAATTGGTAAACTGCCGCTATTTTGTCATTTGAAGATCTCGATTACAGTTCAAAAGTATAAAAGTTGTCCAGAAATACGATTAACTGCTAAAAAACAACCAAACTCTGTTTCCTGTTTTTTTTTTTTTTTGTTTCAAAAAATTTGAAGAATGACCACTTTAGTTTCATTTTTTTTGTGAAAACAATTTTTTTTTTTCAGCTGCAGACAAAAAATATTAGGAAAAAAAAACAGGAAAAACCAATGAAATAACTGCGGCGCCTAAGAACACTGCAGTTACCGCTATGATAACAAAGTCGAGTAAGCAGTTTGCTTTGTACAGACTGATATTCAAAGAAATAAAAATTGAACTACTGTTTTCCCTCCTCCTGGTTTTTTTTTGTCAAGTAATAAGGGAGAACTCTGATCATTAACTTACAAACTTATAAATTTCACTATTGCCACTATTTTACGGTCAAGTCAGCTCTCAAAATTTTGTTCAGAAACAGCGCACTTCACTTGCTGTCTACAAAACTAAAAAAGCAGAAAAAAACTCAGGAGCAGAAAAAAACTTTTTTTCTATTCAAATAAAACAACGTACGTTCAAACAGAAAAAAATAGGGCAAGAGAATAACAATAGCCTCAACTAATGATAACTCGTTATTTTCGAACAGAGGTCTTACTAGTGCGCTGATGATAATAGTGATGATGACGATGATATTGTAAGGCTCGCAAACATTTTTTCTGAAGCAAACGCTATGATGTCCCTGCGGAAGATACATTCTTACTAGCCTTTTTACATCTGCCGTGGTGTTTAAAACTAGCAGCATCAATACAGTAGTAAACGAAATTTCAAAATATTTTTGTTTGTTCTTTCGTTGCCTGTGAATTCATTTTTGCTTTTCAACGATACAGATACAAGCGGAATTAACCACAAACTTCTCGCCCCCCATTCTCTGGTCGTTCAGGTTGATTCTGATTAACTGCAGGACACAGACAGCTCATCATCACTTCAACAAAGACACCAAAAGAAACAAGTGCAAAAATATTCAGCAGGCAGGTGAGAAGCAAATGCAGATGTCAGGAAAAAGACGGAAAAAAAAAAAATTGCCAATACTAGGTCTAATCTCATTGCTACTGATGTGTCTGTGTGTGTATTTGCGTTTATGTGTGTGGAAAAATAGCACAATTGCTTTACGATTTACTGTTGTTGCGATTGTATGGAACTAGACGCCAGGAGGTTAACTCATTAAGCTGTCAGAACAGCGATCGTACAGAGCCGGGCAGTAAATGCGACCCAACAGCAACACTAACGGTATGGGCAACCATAGCCAGACGAGAGATACGCGACCAGCAAAAGCAGGCGAAAAATTCTGAGCAAAGCAATGAACAGCCTCAAGCAAAAACAACAACAGCATAGGTTGGTCGCAAAGGTTCGGTAGAAGAATACAATGAGGAACAGAGCTTGAAGGGCAGTTGCCTGGAACACAGCAAACAGTGGAAGAGAGAGTGCCCTCGAGAAAACGCTGGTCCTGTAATGTTCGATGTAGTTGCCAAAAGGTAGAGGGGAGGGAAAAAGGGCACTAGCAGTAAGCACGGCTAACAGATTAGCACAGAAATGCCGTGTGCTTCAGGAAATCTTTTTCTCTGCCGTTACAGTTGCCCGCAGGCGGTATAGATGTAATTCTTGCAAAAACAACAATTTGGGCGGTGCGCTGTTGTTGAAAAAAATTTTTGTTGCGTGCGGATTGGGACCGAACGAATTGAAATTTGCTGCTGATAACCGAGCATCCTCGGGCAAGTTGCTTCATTCTCACTGTTCTGTGCTTCTATCTGCGGTTGCTGCTCTCAGCGAATCTCAACAATCACCATGGACGCAATTAAGAAGAAGATGCAGGCCATGAAGATCGAGAAGGTAACCACCAGCATATCCTTTTTAAGCATTTCTCATACCATTTTACAAATATTACTGCAGTTTATCAATTGCTTAATAATGTGGATTTAGATTGAGAGAAGAGATTCTTCTCTGCAATGTTGATGTTGTGTTGTAGTGGTTGATTACATTTCAAAAATGGTAACAGTTTAACGCTAGCAATTTTGATAGGATTAATTTTTGAGCAGTACTTATCCCTTTATAATTTCCGTCCTTGAGCATTGCACAACAGACATTACTATAACGGTAAGCGTGATTATTAAGGTTGGTTTTGGCAGTAAAATTTTTTTTATCGTCGAGACTTCTTATTTTCTAGGTTCCTACACTTTGTTTTCTTTCAAGTTACTCGGTACTTTTTAATTCTAAAGTCAGAGGGTCTAAAATAATCGGTTTTCAAATAGTTGTGTTTTATTGAGCGCTTATCGTGCTTGTTTTTTTACCTTGCAGCTCATGACAATGAGCTTAGAAAAGCTATCGGCATTTTTTTATTTTTTGGTAATAAGAGGTCAGTCAAGGCAACTGAGTGCTGTGTAGAACATTTCCCTGTAGATTTTTCTTTTAAAGTACTTTTTGAAACTTTTCATCTGCTGTTTAAATTGTGAAGTTCTTTTTTCATGTCATTTCAAACAACAAAAAACCGTATTTTTCTAGAAAAGGCAAAGAAGCTTGAGCTTTTAAAAAGACATTTTTTACCCTTACATTCTTTCTTAGTTTCTATCGTATTTGTCGAATACATTTTTTCTGTTATTGAAAAAATAACCAGGTAAACATTGAAGGCGAAAAACGGAGGCCGATAGTGTAGTTTAGTGATTGATAATAACTTTTCTGCGCTTTAAAATGCTACAGTAAGAAGTTTAAAAGTTTTTTATTACTTTTTGTCTCCTTGCTTATCAGTGAGTAGTTTGAACAGATAAGGTTTGAAAATGTTATAGGTTTGCTGACTGCATCTTACTGTTGTGTTTGAAAAAGTGGCGGAGGTATTCGGAACAAATGCATTGTAAATGAATTTAAAATGTCGATATTCAGCAGGTTGCTGAACTGTATATCGTTAGATGTTGAGTTGAAAACAAACAGTTACAACAATTCGGTTGAGATGTACAGCAACTCTAAGTGGGAAAAAGCTTACATAGCTAAAGAGGAGATACAAAATGCAGCTGATGGAGACTCGTAGGGTCTCACGGTCAGTTACTTGGTCCTAGACGGTTATAACAAACTTTACTGTTTACTCTCTTGAGGTGACGAAAACAGTAATTAGTCTAAGCCTACTTTAAGTTCTGTAATTTTCTTACGTATTAAAAAAATGAAAATGTTGACTGTTGCTGACTGACTTTCGAAATGTTGCAAAGGTGAACTCACTCACTTTCTATTTTAGCTATTTAGGGCACCTGATTTAATCTTTTATTTTGTTTATTTAAAAATTCGGCTAAATTTTTTTGGAATTTTAAAACGATTAGATTTTAGTTTGCTGTTTTTTCTTGTATAAGAAAGATGACAAAGCAAAAGAAAGCAAACCGTGTAGACTGTAGTTCTTTTTGATACAGAAGCAGAAAACAAAACTTTTTATAACAGGTATAGGACGTTTTTTTGGGGCTTTTTACAGGAAGTTTTATGAATTTCCAAAAGCTTCAGACATTTGTTTTCAGTCTGCTTTTTTTTAAAATTAGGAAAACAGTTATTAAGAAATAAAAATTTAGTTTTTTTCTTGCTTTATTTTTCTCAGTGTTGTACCATTAAAATAAAAGTTACTTTCCTGTGCCATTTGCTTGTGTCACTAGCAGTAACATTTGCTGTGACCTCTGCATTTTACTTTTTTCTAACTTTTTGAGTTTAAAACTTGCTATGAAAAAAAAGCGTAATGTTCTGTTTCCAGACAAGAAGAATTCTAATTATTACATTTACCAATAACCTTTTTGAAAAGGGAAGAGATAAGATAAACTTTTGCCAAGCTCAATCATTAAGAGTTGAAACGTTTTAGTTGTAACGAAGTAGTAAGACATAGCAGGATTCTGTGTAAAGTGGAATATTTAATGTGCTATTTTAAACTTGCTGCTTTCCTACTGTTTGTTGTAATATCATCTATATAGAATTCAAGATATAGAAATAATTCTTTCTCCTCTACAGTTTCTCGGGTCTTTATGTTTTGATTTTATTTTCTCTACCCTTTCCCCGCTTTTTTTTTGGTATCTTGGATGTCGCTCGACGATTCAGCGAAGTAAATAGCAAAGTATCGCTTTAAAATCGAGCATACATTTTTTTACCCAACGTGTTGGTAACGAAAATTCTGTAATGGCTTTGTAACTCTAGAGTGTCTGTAGAACAAAACAAGGAATTATATGATGACAGGAAAGTTTAGGACAATGCTCTCGATCGGGCCGACGCTGCTGAGGAAAAAGTACGACAAATGACTGATAAGTTGGAAAGGATTGAGGAGGAATTACGTGACACCCAAAAGAAGATGATGCAAACCGAAAATGACTTGGATAAAGCTCAGGAAGATTTGTCGGCAGCTAACACGCAACTTGAAGACAAAGAGAAGAAAGTCCAGGAGGTTGGTGATCTGATCGCCTTCAAAAATCCTGCAGTTGTTAAGTGTAGAGAAAAAACGGAAGTGCATCATTTTTCAGAATGAGACATCAGTGGTTAAGTGATTTCAGAATTTTCATGGCACTGACTAAGTTAAGTGTTTTAATGAGTCTTAATTAGAACCGTTCAGTTCTATCTGTAGCTATAACAAGTGAAAAAAAGAGGGAGTAAAAGATCTATTTTTTATCCGCCTAAAATCCTTCAACAGCGTTTTGAAAAGCAAAAACTCCCTCGCTTTTTACATGCTTCTTTCTTTTGACGTAGTCAGATGACACAGCTTTTTATGATCTTATTAGTTTTTAGGCATTAAAGAAACTTAACTTTTATAATTTACCTTACCTTTAACCAATCTCTCCAAGGCCACGAGCACATATCGCAACGGTTCACGGATGGACAAAGAACTTCGGTTTTTTGTTTTTGTTTATCTTCAACAATTCCAGGAAAATTTCTTATCGCAGTGTTTTTATTCAAGCACTTTAAGAAGAGTTGCTGCATTGGTTAATTGCAAGAAAGCCTTGTAATCATTTTAACTATCTGTTTATTATCTTTAAGTCAAAAACTTAAAACTCCTGAACTTGAATTAAATAAGCTGAAATTTGATTTAAGCAGTTTAAAATGTGCAAAAGAAAGTCCCTCGTTACTGCCTGTTTGGTTAGGCTGTTTGCAAAGAATTTTGTTGTTACTGAAGAGTAATATTTATTACTGAACATTTAGCTGTTGATAAGATTACTTGAGCGCTCAACGTACAATAGAGATTTTTTTT